TGCATTGAAGCAACTGACATGTGATTGGTTGATTAGATAATTGCATTAATGAGAAATTGAACAGGTGTTCCTAATAATCCTTTAGGTGAGTGTATATGAGTATTTGAAAACTAAACTGAAACCATTTCCATAGCAGCAACTTTATGTGATTGTCATAGACAATGATGGTAACAATCATGAAGACCACATTTTCAGTTAAAACAAAGGACTCTTTGGGAATGGGCGGAGCCAGCAGTGTCGACGAAACAGCTGTTTGCCTCGCCTGGACAGTCGCCACACAAAACGATAATCAATTCCTTTCCTTATCTCAATACACTTATGTACAGAAGGAAGATGACTGTGCCATTTCAGGATAGTTCTCTTGTCACTCACGGTGATAAAAAATACAAAGGAATTAACCGCAGTGGAATGTCGACTTCGTTACTGCACTTAGACGGTCAAAACAAATGAACGCTGTGTGTGAATTCCTGCATGACAGTGTAGTACTCCAAGGATTCCTTTTGTTTTAGATAATTAATTTTGTTGGAAAACTATATAACAAGTGCAGAATACTAAATTTATATTGAATGACATAGGATTGTGTGCGTCAGTGTATGTGCCCTGTGATGGACTGGTACCACCTGCTTTATGGCCTGTCCTGCCAAAAGTAGGCTGCAGCCTCACTGTGATCATGTACTGGGCAAGTGATTCAGATAGATGGATGGATGGATGTTTGTATGGATGGATGGACACTGGTCATAGGCCAAGTTGCTCATTTAAATGTAGAAAATAATATTTTTTGGAAACCTTTTCTAAATTGCCATTCCTAAAATTAAATTACTTGCTAATAGGTCCTGGAATCGAATCTACCATCTGGATTTTCGGGATCTTAAGTAAGCTTACATTTTTATCTGATGAGGAGAGTCACTGCCACTGGAAATGTGGCATTTCACCTGCAATTTGCTGAATTATCCAAAATTGCAAAGAAAGGAGTCCATTAGAAATATTCAGAATTATGAGGACTAGCAACTTCAACGCTTAACGCACTGAGCAGCGAGTACATGCAGACTCCTTAGGCTAATCAAGAACTGAAGCATCATAGAATCCAGAGCGGCATTTCTTTCTGAGTAGGGAGCCGGGTTTGCACTCGGAGGATGTGCACAGCAGGGGCAGAGCCTGGCTCCGTGCCTCAGTAAGCGTCTTCTGTTGAATATTTATGCTTGCTGTAAGATTTCCATAGACTAGATATAATCCTCAATCATCATGTGCAAGAGTGAGTCACAATCTGGACTTCCTTCAGTCTGTTTAGAAAAATGAACAGTGAAAACTACAGTATTGGGTTATAAACATTGTTCTGAGAGTGAACCGGACTCACGAGAACCACTGTCTTAAGATTTATGCTTCTCTTTCACTTTTAATTCATGTGATGGGTCCTGATTACTCTTAAAACTGATGATATGTACATGATGGTATTTGGAAAAATCTGCCAAGTGGATAATTCAAATACAGACCTTTCACATTTTCACACAGACCAACAGGAAGGTTTTGAAAAAATATTTCAGATGATTTACAAGGCAGAGACTAACTTCCAGTCTTTCCCTTGGTGTTGCAGTTGTTGCATTTACTGACATTTCAAAACTTTTTTTTTCAGGAAAAAAGGCAAAATATCTTCATGCTTTAAATGAAGAACTTCACACTTACCCTCGTGATGTCTGGAAAGGGACCTGAGAGCGTTCTGTCCATCCTCTTCCTTGGCCTGATGAACATAAGGAGCCTCTTTTGTTTCTTTGATCTTCACTGTCACCGTGGTGGGTGTGCTGGGTTCTGGTGTCTCGGGACGTGTACTGAGGATAGCAGAGTGTCTTTCGTCTCGCCCGGACCCCAACCCTGAGGAGCTGCTCTCTGCTATGTTAGCGCCATGCATGCTTCCATGCTCACGGCCAGCTTCAGATGACAGATGATCTTTTTTGATGAAGTCCATTTCATGAATAATATGCATATTTTTGTGTTTGCTCTCTGTTTCAGAGGACACATTGTGTCTTTTGTTGAGGTTACTGTTCATTTCCTGCACATGACCTCTTTGTATAGTTTTGTGTTTGGGGTCAGCTTCAGACAAGACATCTTTGTTGTTCCGGTTACTGTCCAATTCCTGCACATGACCTCTTTGCATAGTTTTGTGACCTGGGTCAGCTTCAGACAAGACATCTTTGTTGGTCCGGTTACTGTCCATTTCCTGCACATGACCTCTTTGTATAGTTTTGTGTCTGGGGTCAGCTTCAGACAAGACATCTTTGTTGTTCCGGTTACTGTCCATTTCCTGCACATGACCTCTTTGCATAATTTTGTGACCTGGGTCAGCTTCAGACAAGACATCTTTGTTGTTCCGGTTACTGTCCATTTCCTGCACATGACCTCTTTGTATAGTTTTGTGACCGGGGTCAGCTTC